GGCCGTTAAAAAATACACTCACCATAATTAGAATATATGGAACTTAAGGTGAATTTGATTGACCATATCAACTCTGGACGGTTGAATATTACTGACGTAAGGAGCATCGCGCGGTCGCGTTGTTGTTGGTATAGTACAAACAGAGTCAGGTACGGAACGGACGTTAAAGAAGTAACGCTCATAGGMTATTCAAACCGTTTGACCTTTGGAATGAAAACGTCTGCATTACAACAGCGAACGAAGGAACACGGACACAAGATAAGTAAACAAGTATAACGTTAATTTAATTCCAATAATCGAAAAGAAAAAAAAAAAGAAAAGAAATCCAACCACATTCGGTGTCCTAGTGCCCTTGAACGAACGCTCTCATGCTTGAAACACAGGCAACCCAAGCTCGCTACATTCATAAGAGAATGTATGGGGATTTAGAATATGCCGTATTTTATTTGGAAAAGTGTGAATAAAAGTTTGTCGACTTACCTGTTGTGTCAATTTGTTTATTTTGAACTCCTGCATGCAGTTTCATTTAGTTTTGAAGGGTATAAAAGAAAAAAATTCCAACACTTAGAAATAATGACAAGGTAGGAAGCTGCCGACCCGAATTTGATGTCACTAGTGTCCACTTCGAACTGATTTTCTCAGTAATTACGAATCCGATGAGGAATTGGCTTCACATGAGCACGAAGGAATAGTTTAACAACAAATCTATGTGATTCAATTGGATCTAGCTGTAGTTACAAACTTGTAGTCCTCCCTTAAACTTTAAAAAGTTACTCCAACGAATGCGTATAAATTAAATTAAATATAATCACCATAAAAGCAAATTTGGCGCCCCATAGTATGGGATAAAATAAGTTACTTATTTCCGGGTTGGGAAATAAGTTGCACGTGATGGSGTGATATTTTGCACCAATCACAAACAACGAAGCGTGAGCAGATATTTTGCTTGAATTTTTCAGTACAAATGGAGCTCGAAGCGAAAAAATTACAGAGATTTTCCAGTGTTTGTACAGAGAAATTACAGACTTTCATTGAGAAAAATGATTCGGAAAATAGGAAAATAGCGACTAAAAATGCTGTGGCTACTCTTCTCGCTTTTTGGTAGAGAAATACAAGACCGTATGTGACTATGGGTTGTGTTTGCAAAATCATGGTCAGTTTTCATGCATTTAGCTTGCTAAATAAAGTTTTCTTATTTCGTAAACTGACTTCTCAATATTTCTCAATTATTGCTATATAACAAAACACTAATGTCTGGTCCCTTGGGGAAATCCCTCGGCTTCGCCTTGTGAAACATCACGTGAGACTCTCGGGAAAACAAAACTAACTATTTCCCAAGTAGAGGGACCAGACATTAAGCGTATAATTGTAAGGCGGACTCTCATAACTTACTTATTATTCCTGAAACAAAGTCAGCATCTAAATTCGACCGTAGCTTGTTGCGTATTATCAACTCTCCAATCCTCTCGCAATAGTAATCCAATATAAAAT